AACTCTATGATCAACTAATATCTGACAAAGCAGGAAAGACTATCCACTGGAAAAAGGACAGTCTCTTCAATAAATGGTGCAGGGAAAATTGGACAGCCACGTGCAGAAGAACGAAACTGGATCATTCTCTTACACCATACACAAAGATAAACTCAAAATGGTTGAAAGATAAATGCGAGACAAGAATCTATCAAAATCCTAGAGAAGAACACAGGCAGCACTGATTCAACACTTTTTGAACCTGGCCACAGAAACTTCTTACAAGATACATTTATGAAGGCAAAGGAAATAAAAGCAAAAATGAACTATTGGAACTTCATCAAGATAAAAAGCTTCTGCACAGCAAAAGAAACAGTCAACAAAACTAAAAGACAACCTACAGAATGGGAGAAGCTATTTGCAAATGACCTATCAGATCAAGGGCTAGTATCCAAGATCTATAAAGAACTTACTAAACTCAACACTGAAGAAACAAAAAACCCAATCATGAAATGGGCAGAAGACATGAACAGAAATTTCACCAAAGAAAACATACACATGGCCAACAAGCAGGTGAGAAAATGCTCTGCATCATTTGCCATCAGGGAAATACAAATCAAAACCACAATTAGATACCATCTCACACCAATAAGAATGGTGAAAATTAACAAGACAGGAAACAACAAATGTTGGAGAGGATGTGAGGAAGGGGGAACCCTCTTGCACTGTTGGTGGGAATGTGAACTGGTGGAGCCACTCTGGAAAACTGTGTGGAGGTTCCTCAAAGAGTTAAAAATAGACCTGCCCTACGACCCAGCACTATTTACCCCTTAAGATACTGATGTAGTGGAACGTGGGCACACCTGTACTCCAATGTTTATAGCAGCCATGTCCACAATAGCCAAACTGTGGAAGGAGCCTCGGTGTCCATCGAAGGATGAATGGATCAAGAAGATGTGGTCTATGTATACAATGGAATATTACTCAGGCTTTAGAAACGATAAGTACCCACCATTTGCTTTGACGTGGTTGGAACTGGAGGGTATCATGGTGAGTGAAGTAGGTCAATTGGAGAAGGATAATCATCATATGGTTTCACTCATATGGGGAATATAAGAAATAGTGAAAGGGATTATAAGGAGGGGAACTGAGTGGGAAAAATTAGAGAGGGAAACAAACCATGAGAGATTCCTGATTCTGGGACCAAACAAAGGGTAGTGGAAGGGGAGGCCGGCGAGGGGGTTGGGGTTAGCTGGGTGATGGGCACTGAGGAGGGCACTTGATGGGATGAGCACTGGGTGTTATAGTATATGTAAGCAAATTGAACTTAAATAAAAACAAATTTAAAAAAGAAATAAGAAAGTAAAATTATGGTCAATTTCTAAGCTAGTACTCAATGTTTTATCTATTTCAATTTTGTAATATCAAAGTTTGTTAAAATAATGTGACAAACTACTTTTTTTTTAAAGGGCTAAAATTTGGGGAGGGGCAAGATGGCGGAAGAGCAGGGTCCCCAAATCGCCTGTCCCCACCAAATTACCTAGGTAACCTTCAAACCATCCTGAAAATCTACGAATTCGGCCTGAGATGTAAAGAGAGACCAGCTGGAAGGCTACAGTGAGAAGAGTCCGCGCTTCTATCAAGGTAGGAAGACGGGGAAAAAGAAATAAAGACACAAAAGGCCTCCGAGGGGGAGGGACCCCGCGAGGAGCCAGGCTGAGGCCGGGGCGAGGGTCCCCAGGACAGGAGAGCCCCGTCCCGGAGAAGCAGGAGCTGCACCAACCTTCCCGGACGGGCGGAAAGGGGCTCGCAGGGAGGTGGAGCAGGACCCAGGAGGGCGGGGATGCCCTCGGGCTCCCGGGGACACTAACAGACACCTGCGCCCCGGGAGAGTGCGCCGAGCTCCCTAAGGGCTGCAGCGCGCACGGCGGGGCCCGGAGCAGCTCGGAGGGGCTCGGGCGGCGGCTCCGCGGAGGGGGCTGCGGGGCGGGAGCGCGAATCCAACAGCGCAGGCCCCGGAGCACAGGGCGCCGGGACACAGCCCAGGATCCGGCCTCCCCCGGGACAGGCAGAGGCCGGGAGGGCCCAGGACAGCGAGGACGCTCCTGCCCGGAGCTGAGCAGATCAGCGGCCCCGCCCCGGAGCCTCCAGGCCCTGCAGACGGAGAGCCCCGTAGTTCCTGCGGAGGCTGAATCCAGGCTTCCAGAGTTGCCATAGCAACTGTGGCTGTTCCTCCTGGGGCCCCACGGGGTAAACAACCCCCGCTGAGCCCGGCAGCAGGCAGGGGCAGAGCAGCTCCCCCAAGTGCTAACACCTGAAAATCAGCACAGCAGGCCCCTCCCCCAGAAGACCAGCTGGACGGACCAGTGATACTCCCCCGTGTTCCAATACAACTTGTTTTTGGCCACTCTGCACTGAGCAAAATGACTAGAAGGAAAACCTCACCTCAAAAGAAAGAATCAGAAACAGCCCTCTCTCCCACAGAGTTACAAAATCTGGATTACACTTCAATGTCAGAAAGCCAATTCAGAAGCACCATTCTACAGCTACTGGTGGCTCTAGAAAAAAGCATTAAGGCCTCACGAGACTTCATGACTGCAGAATTTAGATCCAATCAGGCAGAAATTAAAAATCAATTGAATGAGATGCAATCCAAACTAGAAGTCCTAACGACGAGGGTTAACGAGGTGGAAGAACGAGTGAGTGACATAGAAGACAAGTTGATGGCAAAGAGGGAAACTGAGGAAAAAAGAGACAATCAATTAAGGGACCATGAAGACAGATTAAGGGAAATAAATGACAACCTAAGGAAGAAAAACCTACGCTTAATTGGGGTTCCCGAGGGCGCCGAAAGGGACAGAGGGCCAGAATATGCATTTGAACAAATCCTAGCTGAAAACTCCCAATCTGGGAAGGGAAACAGGCATTCAGATCCAGGAAATAGAGAGATCCCCCCTAAAATCAATAAAAACCGTTCAACACCTCGACATTTAATAGTGAAGCTTGCAAATTCCAAAGATAAAGAGAAGATCCTTAAAGCAGCAAGAGACAAGAAGTCCCTGACTTTCATGGGGAGGAATATTAGGGTAACAGCAGACCTCTCCACAGAGACCTGGCAGGCCAGAAAGGGCTGGCAGGATATATTCAGGGTCCTAAATGAGAAGAACATGCAACCAAGAATACTTTATCCAGCAAGGCTCTCATTCAAAATGGAAGGAGAGATAAAGAGCTTCCAAGACAGGCAGGAACTGAAAGAATATGTGACCTCCAAACCAGCTCTGCAAGAAATTTTAAGGGGGACTCTTAAAACTCCCCTTTAAGAAGAAGTTCAGTGGAACAATCCACAAAAACAAGGACTAAATAGATATCATGATGACACTAAACTCATATCTGTCAATAGTAACTCTGAACGTGAATGGGCTTAATGACCCCATCAAAAGGCGCAGGGTTTCAGACTGGATAAAAAAGCAGGACCCATCTATTTGCTGTCTACAAGGGTCTCATTTTAGACAGAAGGACACCTACAACCTGAAAATAAAAGGTTGGAGAACCATTTACCATTCAAATGGTTCTCAAAATATACCCTAAAAACTACAGAACACTTCTGAAAGAAATTGTGGAAGACACAAAGAGATGGAAAAATATTCCATGCTCATGGATTGGCAGAATTAATATTGTGAAAATGTCAATGTTACCCAGGGCAATTTACATGTATAATGCAATCCCTATCAAAATACCATGGACTTTCTTCAGAGACTTAGAACAAATTATTTTAAGATTTGTGTGGAATCAGAAAAGACCCCAAACAGCCAGGGGAATTTTAAAAAAGAAAACCATATCTGGGGGCATCACAATGCCAGATTTCAGGTTGTACTACAAAGCTGTGGTCATCAAGACAGTGTGGTACTGGCACAAAAACAGACATATAGATCAATGGAACAGAACAGAGAACCCAGAAGTGGACCCTGAACTTTATGGTCAACTAATATACGATAAAGGAGGAAAGACGATCCACTAGAAGAAAGACAGTCTCTTCAATAAATGGTGCTGGGAAAATTGGACATCCATATGCAGAAGAATGAAACTGGACCACTCTCTTGCACCATACACAAAGATAAACCCAAAATGGATGAAAGATCTAAATGTGAGACAAGATTCCATCAAAATCCTAGAGGAGAACTCAGGCAACACCCTTTTTGAACTTGGCCACAGTAACCGGAGAAGGACAAACAGTGTATGTTCTCATTCATTTGGGGAATATGAATAATAGTGAAAGGGAATATAAGGGAAGGGAGAAGAAATGTGTGAGAAATATCAGAAAGGGAGACAGAACATAAAGACTTCTAACTCTGGGAAATGAACTAGGGGTGGTGGAGGGGGAGGAGGGCGGGGGGTGGGGGTGAATGGGTGACGGGCACTGAGGGGGACACTTGATGGGATGAGCACTGGGTGTTATTCTGTATGTTGGTAAATTGAACACCAATAAAAATTAATTTATAAAATTAAAAAAAAATAAAGGGCTAAAATTTTTCTATATGAGATGATGCATCTTAACTAAATCTAGTGTGGTCATTTTGCAATACATGTAAGGTCAAACCATCATCCTGTATACTTTAAACTCAGTGATGTTTGTCAATTATTTCTCAATAAAATTGGAAAATTTGGGATGCCTGGGTGGCTCAGCAGTTGAGCGTCTGCCTTTGGCTCAGGGCGTGATCCCAGTTTGGGATTGGGTCCCATGTCAGGTTCCCTGTAGGGAGCCTGCTTCTCCCTCTGCCTGTGTCTCTGCCTCTGTCTGTGTCTCTCATGAATAAATAAATAAGATCTTTAAAAATAAAATAAAATTGGAAAATAAAAAAAAATAAAGTGCTCTACTTAATGGCTGGAAGACAGACAAGCACTTACATAAATCAAGTATGTTCTTAGATATGTAGAAACTAACCTAAATATTTTTCAAATTCACATGGTCTAGAATAATCTTCAGTAAATAAAAGGTAGTTTACATTTGCAGGTTTAATTAAACTAGGCATTTCTTTAGAGCTATCAGCATTAAATATAACGCAAACAATTCTTATTCCACCTAAGTTTACTAAAAGTCACATACACTCCTGTTATTTCTGTTACAAGATTTGTCAGCAAGAAAATAACTTAAGATCAGAGCTGTTTAATGTCTCATGAAATCTTCATGAGTGATCTAAACATATTGTTAAAACAAGTAACAAATTCACTAGCCATGAGATAAAAGATTATAAATTACATTTGCAACAATAATTATGCATTATGGTACATCTATTTAAAAACAGTTTCCAATATTTTTTTTTGGTTTGAAACTTTGAAGTTATCCTGAGACAAGTTAAATGATAGATATTCATTAAATATCTGAATAATTTCCAAATGAGATAAAATACTGACACATTATCAGACACAAGTTTATTCTTTTCATAAAAAGAATAACTTCCTTTTACAGAAGAACTAAAGATATTTGGGTCTGTTGTTAAACGTGTTTTGTGCCACATTGAAAAATTTTCCTCGAAGAAAAATATACTGCCGGAAATTAGGACATGTATTTATAAATCTGCCAACCCACAGAATGCCAGTGTAACAGACAGACCACAATTGCTAACTTCTTTATTTTCACTGGGAATTAAAGATTATAGGCAAACCCTGCTGAGGAGCTGGAGGTTGGCCCCCAGTTGCCTCTGCACCTCTCTGCCTGGTCCTGCTCCTGGCCTCAGCCCCAGACGCCCAGCCAGAGCCCACCAACACCCAGATAAATTTTTCAGAACATAAAACAAGAATACAGTCATTATCAGAAGTGGAGACATTTAGAAGTTGTTCTTGTGAAGCTTGTACTTCAGAGAGTCAGCTTCATTCCTTGGCCTTCATAGCAGCTTGTTGTCCAGGTTCCTTCTGGATGAAGAAGGACCAGCTCAGCCGTACCCTCTGACAAATGGGAATAATATGTGAGTGTCTCTTAAAAGACCATGAAGATAAAATTCAGGAGGAGTATAAGCAAATCTGCAATACAAAACTAGCAGAACAATATGAATCTTTGGTGAAATTCACACATGATCAAATGATGTGATGATGATATGGAACAAAACCAACATGCTAGGTATCCTGGAGCTTCCTTGCATGCCTGGTACCAGGTTTGACCTCAAGAGGTGGCTGCTGTACACTTTTTGCAACTGGTTGGATATATCAGCTCCAACTTTGCATCTTGAGAACACTTAAATGATTCTTCAGGTCCATTTTGTACAACTTGAAAGACCTTAACACTTTCTGCTTGCCAGAAGCATCTTTCGTTTCTGCTCATCCAGGAAACAACTGTGCCCTACTTTGATAGGTTTTTCAAACAAAAATATCCAGAGCAGCAGTTTAACAAAATACGACCACAGCGGCACTCAACAAATGGCATTACCCTGAGCACAGTTCTGTAAGAAGTATGTGCAAGTGTGTGTGTGTGTGTGTATTTTAAGTCATTTACATTGTGCAATTTTTTCTTATTTTGGGGATTTTGAACATAGACAACCACTGTAGCCCCTCCCTGTTGTCACCTCACTATCTTGCCAAAGTATGTGCCCTGAAATCTAGATAGCCCTGATATGAAAGCTTTGTGAAAATAACTAACTGGTTGCAATTTTCTGCCAACTGGAGGGGATGGGAGTTAAAAATAAAATTTTGTTGCCCTAAAAAATAAAAATGTGATGTCACACTCGCACATGTGGACTGATCACTGCTACAGCTGCTCTTATGCCTTTTTTCTTCATTTCTTCTTTGTATCCAAGGTTCTCAGCGTACTGCTTGGTAACGGTTATATGCTGAATAAATGATTACTGAGTTAATTAAAGGTTTGCAAAGCTCTTTATGATGACATCATCCAGTGTTTTAAGCATTTCTATAGCATGCCCTGTCATCAATTAATACATTTCTATTTACAAGTCTTTTATTTTAGTTTGAATGGCTTCAAATCCCAGTGGTTTTGTACAATTTTGCATTATTATGAGACTTTTTTCTTTTGAAAATTATACGCTCCTACCTTTTGACTATTTAATATTGAATTATGTATTCTTTTCATGAATATTTATTAGATATGCATATTAATATAGATCCATTTTGAATATTTTTTATTTGTCTTTTGCAATTTTTTTGAGGGGGGAGGAGCAGAGGGAGAGGGAGAATCTTTTTTTTTTAAGATTTTATTTATTTATTCATGAGAGACACAGAGAAAGGCAGAGACATAGGCCGAGAGAGAAGCAGGCTTCTTGAGGGGAGCCTGATGTGGGACTCAATCCCAGGACCCCAGGGTCACAACCCAAGCCAAAGGCAGATCCTCAAACCACTGAGCCACCAAAGTGTCCTGGGAGAGGGAGAATCTTTTTTTTTTAATTTTTTTTTAAATTTATGTATTTATGATAGTCACAGAGAGAGAGAGAGAGAGAGAGAGGCAGAGACACAGGCAGAGGGAGAAGCAGGCTCCATGCACCGGGAGCCCGATATGGGATTCGATCCCGGTCTCCAGGATCGCACCCTGGGCCAAAGGCAGGCGCCAAACCGCTGCGCCACTCAGGGATCCCTTTTTTTTTTTATTTTTTTTATTTAGAGAGGGAGAATCTTAAGCAGTCTTCATGCCTAGCTTGGAGCCCAGTGCGGGACTTGATCTCACAACCGAGATCATGACCTGAGCTGAAATCAAGAGTTGGACTCTTAACCAATTGAACCACTCAGGCACCCTGCAATTTATTTTTCATGATTCCTTATAATATTTTAAAATGTTGCATTATCCTTTTTAAACTTAGAATATAGAAACTTACAAAAAAAGAAAAGAAAAATCTCATAAAGGTACACCACTTGAGGTTAACAGTTTTTATCATTTTAATGAATGTTATTCTAGATGTCTTCTATCTCTAGGGCTGGTCCAACAGAGGTTTTATTTTTTAAAAGATTTTATTTATTCATTTGAGAGAGAGAGAGAGAGCATGAGTGGGGGGAGGGACAAGCAGACTCCTCACTGATCAGGGAGCTCATGTGGGTTGGATCCCAAGACTCCAGGATCATGACCTGAGCGAAGGCAGATGCTTAACTGCCTGAGCCAGCTGGGCGCCCCGCCAACAGAGGTTTTAAGTGAGTATTTAGTCTGATCTATTTCTACTTACCTTTCTGGCATTTGCTTTACTATTCAGAATATTTTTGTAACCCCAAGATTTTGTAGCCAGGTTTTGTATTGAATAACATGGTTTAATTGTTATATATATCTTTTTAATCACATGGAGTATTTTTTTAGTTTAGAGAAAGAAGTTAAACTATTAGGCATTTATTTATAAAGTCAGTTAATGGGACTCATTCATCTTTACCATTGATTTACAATGCCCTAATTATAAAATTTATGTGTCATACATGCTACCATATCATTCTGGACTTCTTTGGATTTGTCAATGCATCTGTTATTTGTGTTTTAGGCCTACTGCATCTCATTTTAGCATATGCTACCCAAAACACCTGCCGCACCCTCCCTCCATGAGCCTCTTTTTGTTCAATCATCTTGTCTATTATTAATTTGTATATTTGTATATTATGTAATTTGTACATACATTTGGAACTCTTTTTTGAGTTGTCCCAAAAGAATAGAGTTTTGCATTGTAATTATTCTGTCAATTACTCTACCAATTAATTGGAACAGAATCAGTGTTTTTAATGCTATTCTATCCTTTCAACCAGAAACATGCTAGACATCTACAATTTTACACATATTTTACCATGACTCCTTTTAAAATATTATGACTTTTAATTTATAGAATTGTCAAATCACTATATGGTGCACCTGAAACTAATTTAGCATTATATGTCAATGAGACTTCAGTAATAAAACAGATTTTTAAGAATTATGACTTTCCTCAAACTTCTCATGATTAATTGTAAGCATTTTATATATAGTTACTTAGTACTGCAATTGTAAATGGGATCCATGATTCCATTATATCTTTTTATTTTATTTATTTTACAGAGTTTTCCAGTATCTGCGGATGATCCTGATTTTCCTTCCTCTATTTTGCTCTTTGATTAGCAGTTAGTTCCTGGAACTCCTTAAAACTGTGTCACTTTCATGAAGGTATCTTCCTTCTTTGCTTTTCTTGGGCCTTTTCTCCTGGTAAAAATATAATGAGACCAAACAAACCAGCACAAAAATGAGAAGACATCAAATCAGCATATATATCCTGCATTCTTTAGAGCAAGCTGATTCTTGATCCACCAGTTTTGACAAAAACCATGAACCCTGCCCCAAGGATTTTAGTGCATTTTGGGAAGACAGCTTCTGTAGTTTCAACTCTCACCTTTGGAGGCCAAGGGATCTGGATGCCAAAGGGATTTGGGAGAGGCAAGGGCAGTATACAAAAGTTTAAAATTCCTTTCTAATTCTTGATCATTTAAAAATGCCTATATTTTATTTCTTTTTCCTTTTCTCTTTTTGAGTAGGCAGGCTTGAACTCATGACCCTGGGGTCAAGACCTGAGCTGAGATCAAGAGTCTGATGTTTAACCGACTGAGCCATCCATGCACCCTATTTTTCTTTCTCTTTCTTTCTCTCTTTCCTTATCTCTTTTAAGTAGGCTTCAAGCCCAAAAATTACCTATATTTTAAATTGGGTATTCTTCAGTATTCTAGAAGGATAAGCAAACTCCAAAAGAAATATGTACCACATGTGCTATATATCTCAAAATGTGTTTTCAAGAGCATCTGAAATTTTGTTTGTACATGTATCTTGATCATTTATAAAGATACTATGATCTGTAAGTCAAGAAAATTCATTGTCTTACCATTTTTAAAAAATCAAAAATTAAGACATCCGTAATAAAATTTCAAAGTTAGACATTAAAATGTATGTGAAAGAACAAAGAAACAAACTCTTCCTATTAAAATGTATGTGAAAGAACAAAGAAACAAACTCTTCCTAACATTCTTAATATAGAGAAATTGTTTTACTCGCTCTCTGTTTTCCATTTAACCTTATGGGCAAAAGACTTTGAACTTCATAACCTAAGAACTATTAAAGTGAAAATGTCAAGTAAAAAGGAAGTCCTACATCAGAGAAAAGACTGAACAATTATGCCCTCAGCCTTTAAAGGTTTTAAAACCTGCCCAGAAATCCACCTCAGTATGTGAAGTTTCCCTCTGCCTTCTCCTCTGATTAAGTTTATTTGTTTGAATGCACCATCATTCAAAATCATAAAATTTCTTGTTCTGTGTAAAACAGACAAACCAAATTATATTTACTCTTCCTTTCCCTCTTTTCTCAACAGTTGCATCCCAGTGGAAACCAGCTGGTCTGGATCCAACCAACAGCCCAACAGGACTCTTCCCCTAAGATGCACTGTCATCTGTGGGAGGGACTCAGATCATCTCCCTGATCTGGCTCAGATTCTTCAGGGGCCAGGGCAGTCCTCAGAGCTTCATGCATTCCCAGGCTGGTGGCTGCTGGGGTCTGAAGGATGAGAGTCTGGTGTCTGGATCTTTGAATGTCTGTGAAATACCTTCAGGGCATGTTTGTCACATTAAGATACATAATTTTGGTCCCTATAGCACTAAACCTACTGCTGCAGGCTGGGCAGAGCTAATCTGTGTGATCTAGGGAGCCACAAGGGAGTCTGAGGTCCATGTGAGGAGAGATGGTGGTAGCTAAACCAAAGTCATTGACAACATGGAATATGTCTAGGTCTAAATCTTTCCCTGGGAGAGGCAGCTGGCTGGTTCAGTTGGTAGGGCAGGCAACTTAGTCTTGGGGTCATGAGTTCAAGCCCCACATTTGACTTATAGCTTACTTAAAAAAATTCATATATCTTTCCCAGGGGACAATGACCCTGAAGTGTCTTGCCTTCCTCATTACAGCCTAGAGCAGACCTTAGGGGCAGCCAGGAGATTTACTCACTCCTTTTCCACGTCCTGGATGGAGTCAGGCAGAGGCTGATTCCTGGTTTCAGGAAGGAGGAGTACGACAAGACCAGCGAGGATGGGGAAGACTCCATACATGATCCAGGGCAGGTGGGGAGAATAAATGGTTAGGATCATCAAGAGGGGAGCCAGCGCTGCTCCAATACTACCAGCAAGTCCCAGGATTCCCATAGCTGTTGCCCTTGGAGTGTAAACAATAGAAAAATAATTCGGTATAAATCCATGCAGGTAATTTGTGATTTATTATTTTGCTTCGATTATGGGAGATACCACAACAGTATTTAGATACATGAAGTTTGATGAAATACTCTTACATTTCAAATATGCTCTTTTATTTGCTGGCAATTATTTTCAAGTGCACAGGTGCATTAAGACATACTTTTGTTATTTAAAAAATACTCCTATCCATAGCACCTACCATTGAGTGGTTCTGTAGATTAAGTGAGGTGATACAGTAAAAAACAACACAGTGCCTTGCCAAAGTCAGATTTTTGGCTGTGATTTTTGTTACTATTAATACTATTATAATTGATGCTTTTGATAACTTTGATAACTAATCAGTGTTCTTCCCACTATAAATGCTAGTTAGCTGGAAAAGGTCTATTTTGGCCCTGCTATAGAGCTTCCATGCAATTTGTACCTGATTACAGTAGGAAGTAGCTCATTTCCATGGGTAGAAGAACACATGACAGTTGCAGAAGAAACACCTACTCCCAAAGTTGACAAAATAACACGCAGGGTCTGCATTTCTGGAGAGGAAGACCAGTGAGACTCAAGACTTCGGAACTAAAGGAATCACCATCCACTAAATTATAAGTGAAAAAGACACAACTGGAGATGTTTTCACGTGTTACATACATTGCAGAAAAAGTGCACAGAGGCAGAGACTGTGTAGTGACTAGTGGCTGAGAAATACAACTTATCTGTTGGTTACAACTTAAACAGAATAAAAAACCCAGGCCATTTCATTACCTCTCCCTTTTATATCAGAGATTTGCCAAAGATGGAGGAGAAGGGAATGTAGTTTGCTTTCATATATTCTGTCCAGTGTCTCCTCTGCCCTTCATGTATAAAGCAGGACTCACATATGACAATTACCGAGGGATTTAAAACTCACTGATGTCCTTGAGAAGTTTAAAACCTAGGTGCACACACAATATTGAGTTGGGGCTGGTACCACAGCAGAGAGTAATAAGAGAACAGAAGTCTTATGTTATGGATAAGCTGGAGAGCAGCTTGATCTAGAGTAATGTTTGAAGATTTAAGAATAAAGATCCGAATAAAGGGAAAAATTATTGGGCTTTGGAAACCTCTGAAAGGAAGTTTCAGAGGGTCAGTTTTCTACTCAATTTTAAAAAATCTCATAGGAGTGTTAGAGCATTGGGGTAAGCTCTGTGGTAAAGCAGCAAATGTGCATCATTGCTGATATCCAAGATGAGAGCAGAGCAACCTAGGATCCTGTAAGATGCACAGCTATCCTGGGAATTAAGTGAAGCACGAGGACCACCTCGGTTCCCCTATTCATTGCATATGATCATTTAATTTCATAAAATTGATTCTAAGAGAGGCTTTAACTGCTTCACTCTTTGTTCCTATTGTGTACTTCTCTGCTTGAAGACAAGATATTTTTATTACCTTGAAATCAAAAGGTCCTCCCTAAGCCAGGATTACTGTTATGGTGACCTAATACAAGAGACACGAGTGGACATCAGGGAGTAAATTGTCACTGACAGTGTAATAACAAGAAAGCAACCAGAGAAAGTGGCAGTATTGTGTCCTTGTATGAGATACAATTAACATATATTGGACACAATACTGTCATTTACAATTACAAGCATGATTGGTCAACATCAAAATGGCAAGTGATCGATTGCTCGCCTAGAGAAACTTTTAGGAAGAAATGGCACCAGATGCTTCTCAGATGTGATGAGGACTGCCATATGTCTGAATCAACTTTTACTGACCTTTGACTCTTTCCTAGCCACTCAATAGTAGAATCTATCCTGAATCCTCAAATCGATTTTGGGGAATCATCAGAACCATATTCTCCCTTTCCTTGTGTGAATCCGGTCTCTGAGTCCCCAAGTCCCTGAGATATTTCCTTTCTTCAACCTGTGCTCTTTTCTCACCTTCAGGCAGAAATGTGGTGGTCAGAATGGAGATTCCAAGTAAGGACATGAAAAGCACCTGGCTTACTCGACGGCCCATATGATTCAGTGCCAAGAATGCAATGTAATTGGCGGGGAGGTTGACCATGCCAAAGATAACCTGGAACAGGAAAACATTGCTCCCCATGTGCTGGAGATGGAGAGTCAGGCCAAAAAAGGGCATGTAGTTTGCAAATCTATGGTGAACAAAAGAAGAAAGATGTCATTATGTTTAGACCCTAAGTTCTACAAATGACAGTCATAAGTGTCATCAAACAGCCAGTGCTTGGTGTCCAAGTACAAAAGGCATGGTCTGTTTTGTAGAATATTCTACATGGTGATGCTTTAAAAACTGTGATTAAATATTGCATAATGATGGCGGTCACAATTATTACTTTTTTTGGTGGGTGGGGGGTATTGTACTTAAGAATACACAATGAAGCCCTTGAGTTTTACAGTTTTTTCTATATCCTGATTTGGGTGATGATTGCATATTTACATACGTAAATATTCATTGAATCATATATGTGAGTGCACGTTAAAATTTTTTTTAAAAATTTATTTAAGTAATCTCTACACCCAACGTGGTGGTGCTCAACTCGCAATCCTGAGAGCAAGTGGCACACACTCTTCTGACTAAGACAGCCAGGTGCCCTAACTGTTTGTAATTTTGTCTTAATTGAAGTGGAAATAAACAAGTGAAGAAACTTAAAGCTAAAATCTCTACTATGATTGAAGTCCACAGCCTCAGTTTTCAGATGCTGAGCCTGGTGGTGTGATATAATAAACAAAACTCATTGTACAATGAGTTCTGGGTCAGTCCTGTAACTGAAGAATGCAATTATCTTTATGGCTTCTTCATGTTTTATCTCCAAATCTATCCCCACAACATGTATCCTTTGATATGAATAGATTAATGTCTCCAATATTTTCATATTCTTCATGCACGGTGTAAAGCCTACCTCACAAAGGATGCAAAATAGATCCTTCTACGCAGGATAGGTGTGTGGAACAAGTCACGCACAGAAAGTTTTTTCTGTGCTGCCTCCAGCTCCTCTTGCATGGTGGATCTCAAAACCTTCAATGACAATCACAATAAGAAACTGTTCAATTGCCACACAATGTGAGCATTAGGAGGCCCCCAGAGAGGATAAGCTATATAACTTGCTGTTGTATTTAGTGGGAAATTGAAACAGCAAAGATACAATGATATGTGACAGGTGGATTAGGGAGTTAAAGGAGCCTCAGGAAAATTATGTAGCAATAAGGACTTTTAAAAATACCTTATTTTATTTAAATCCAATTAGTTAACATATAGTGTCTCATTAGTTTCAAATGTACAGCCCAGTAAATCATCAGTTGCCTAGAACACCCAGTGTTCATCACATCATGTGCCCTCCTTAATGCCCATCACCCAGTTACCACATCCCCTTGTCCCTATCCCCTTCAGCAACCCTCAGATTGTTTCCTAGAATTAAGAGTTGCTCACAGTTTTTCTCCCTCTCTGATTTCTTCTATTTAGTTTTTCCTTCCTTTCCCTATGATCCTCAGTGCTATTTCTATAATCCATATATGAGTGAAATAATATAATTGTCTTTCTCTGATTGACTATTTTGCTCAACATAATACCCTCCAGTTCCATCCATGTCAATGTAAATGGTAAGATTTCATTTCATTCTTTTAATGACTGAGTAATATTCCATTGTATATATACACCACATCTTCTTTAGCCATTCATCTGTCTATGGACATATGGGCTTTTTCCATAGTTTGACTATTGTAGACATTGTGGTGGTAAACATTGGGGTGTAGTGTCCCTTCAGATCACTAAATTCATATCTTTGGGGTAAATACCTAGTAATACAAGGGACAGAGGGAACATACCTCAATATCATAAAAGCCATATACTAAAAGACTACAGTGAGTATCATTTTCAATGAGGAAAAACTGAGAGCTTTCCCCCCTAAGGTCAGGAACATGACAAGCATGTACACTCTCACCACTGTTGTTCAACACAGTACTAGAAGTCCTAGCCTCAGCAATCAGACAAACAGAAATAAAATACATCCAAATTGGTAAAGAAGTCAAAATCTTTCTCGTTGCAGATGACATGATACTTTATGTGGAAAATTCAAAAGACTCCACCCAAAAATTGCTAGATCTCATACAGTAATTCAGCAACATGGAAGGATATAAAATCAATGCACAGAAATCAGTTGCATTTCAATACACTAACAATGAGACAGAAAAAAGAGAAATTAAGGAATCTATTCCATTTACAATTGCATCAAAAATGATACATACTTAGGAATAAATCTAACCAAAGAGGTAAAGGATCTGTACTCTGACTCATGAAATAAATTGAGGAAGACACAAAGAAATGGATTGGAAGAATTAATGTTGTTAAAATGCCTGTATTATCCAGAGAAACCTACACATTCAATGCAATCCCTATCAAAATACCATCAACATTTTTCACAGAGCTGGACCAAGCAATCCTAAAATTTGTATGAAACCAGAAAAGACTCCGAATAGCCAGAGGAATATTGAAAAAGAAAACCAAAGCTAGTGACATCACAGTTCCAGACTTAAAGCTGTATTACAAAATTGTAGTCTTCAAGACAGTATGGTACTGGCCCAAAAACAGACACAAAGATCAATGGAATGGAATACAGAACCCAGAAGTGGACTCTCAACTCTATGGTGATCTCATCTTTGACAAAGCAGGAAACAATATCCAATGGAAAAATACAGTCTCTTCAACAAATGATGTTGGGAAAATTGGATAGCCACATGTAGAAGAATGAAACTGGACCACTTTGTTACACTATACACAAAGATAAACTCAAAATGGATGAAAGACCTAAATGTGAGACAAGAATCCATCAAAATCCTAGAGGAGAATGTAAGCAGTAACCTCTTTGACCTCAGCTGCAGCAACTTCTTGCTAGTTATGTCTCCAAAGGCAAGGGAAACAAAAGCCAAAATGAACTATTGGGACTCCAACAAGATAAAATGCTTTTGCACAGCAAAGGAAATAGTCCACAAAGCTAAAGGCACCTACAAAATGTGAGAAGATATTTGCAAATGACGTATCAGATAAAGGGTTAGTATCCAAGATGTATAAAGAACGTATCAAACTCAATACCCAAAATACAAAAAATCCAGTCAAGAAATGGGCAGAAGACATGAACAGACATTTCTCCAAAGAAGACATACAAATGGCCAACAGATACCTGAAAAAATATTCAATATCACTTGGCATCAGGGAAATACAAATCAAAACCACAATGAGATATCACCCTACAATCAGAATGGCTGAAACAAACAACTCAGGAAACAACAAATGTTGGCAAGGATGCGAAGAAAGAGGAACCCTCTTACACTGGTGGTGGGAATGCAAGCTGGTGCAGCCACTCTGGGAAACAGTATGGAGCTTTCTCAAAAAGTTAAAAATAGAGCTACCCTATGACCCAGCAACAAGGTCTTTTTAAACACAAGACCTGAGTGGGTTGCAGGGCATCAGAAGGGTATGTATGTTAGATATTCAGATCAGGAAGGGAACCAAACGTGAGTTCCTTGGATTATGGTCCAAAACTCCTTTTATGCTAGATGTGCATGAAAGACCTAGAAACTAAGTTTGGTCCTCAGCTGGCTCTCCTTTGCAGAGAAACTGTTTATCTCAGGAAAAATGCATTTCCTGAGAGTCTTTATTTTGGTTCTTCATTCAGTCTCCTTGAGGGAAATCTTGTTATATTGTGCCTCCATGAATGAAATGCCTAGAATTAAATATGAGGATGAGACCAGGGTGGGATCTTGGTGTAGAATAATTTATACCCTAGCTGATTATAATCTAGAGTTACTTAATGGTTCTGCAACATGGTAGGTATACACTTTGCAGAAGGTATTTCTAAACCCCAATTTCTCTGTCATGAAGAAAAAGAAAAGGGAGAAGAAGGGGGGGAAGGAGAATAAATAGGTGGAGAAAAATAATAACACTTTTTTAAATGAGGACTTTCTAGCCTTACACGAGGTTGAAAATACGGAGATGGAATTATATCCAGCATATCTCGGATACTTACCTATTTATTGGTTATTCCAATAATATTGACTTAATTCTCATCCCACCTCTACAAATGAAACAATGCCATGAAGTCTATTGGAAAAATTCCATGGTAAAGGACTCTAGAGAGCTGTAAGACCACCTAAGTGAGGCCCTACTGGATCAGAATGTCTTTTTCAGTTGCAGAGCTAGCTCAAGCAGCAAAAGGCTGGACTTATGCTTTTGGAAGAGAAGAGTCATGATAACATCTCCTTTCTGCATCTATCCCCAGAAACCCATGATCATGGGCCATTGTCATAGCAGTATTCTAAGAAAAGGCTCCAAGAATACCTTAAACTTGGGCCAGTTGAGGGCTGCCATGCTGGTGAGACTGGCCTCAAATCACATCCAGTATCGGAGTAAATGTTTGGGAGACACTGAAGTTATTTCACATTGGCCATTCATTTTTGCTAAGCAAGCAGACATGTGAGTAGCATTTCCAGAAAAAGCTAGGGAGGTGATGCCAGGTCATTAATGGGAACTCAAGGAGCTCCTCCTACTGGGTAAAATTCTTATTCAAGGAAGAGGAGGCCTATATTCAAATGGGAGCCTGCTGGATCTTTGCTTTTTTAAATGCATCTTTTCTCTCTGTCCTTTGGTAGGGATAAAAAAACCTCAAAGAACTATTTGTAGTGCCAATCATAACACCATGCTGGGTAAAATGCATGAAACAGCCTATTGGTGTCCTGGAATGGGCATGGACAAATTCACAGAAACCCTTTGTTAAATGTTTCGTTTGTAAAGTAGTTGCTATGTTGGTGGCTTTTACTGGCAATGGTGGTAGTATTCATACTACAGAAATTGATAATCACCACAAATTTGAGATATGTGGATATTTTCCCCCTCCTATAATGTTAGGTGCTAAACATTTACTAGCACACTACTGGCTTGGCCCCTTTGCAGTCATTTGGACTGCTCTCATCATATGCCTACTTGATTTAAACCTGGCTAGTTCTACCCTAACCTGTAAGGCCTATTTCAAATACAACTAATTTCAAGTAGCATTTAGTTCCTGCATGTCTGCAATCTGGCTTATGTCTTCCTCCTTGGTATTCACATTTCACCCTTGCTTTACTTCAAAGAGGTTTTATCAAGCCTGTAACCTGGCCTGTCTGTTCATGAACCTGGCCATGGACATACCTGCAGACCCTGTCAAATGGTCCACAAATCCATGGACCCAGACAGCAGTCCTACTGAGGAACCCTGCTAACTGGCATACCCATAATCTCCAGCCAAGATGACTAGTGAAGGGCTTTTCCTGCCAAAGCCAGATTGTGAAGACTAGAAGAGGTGACTGCTTCTTCAAATGCACAAACACCACTACAAGGCTATGAAGAATTATTGGGGTGAGGGAGAATTGATAAATGAGCTGGGTTTTCTTTTTAAAGGATGAACAAAATTAACAAACTTTTAGCTAGACTGACCATGGAAAAAAAGGAGGGAAAATTCAAAATCAGAAATGAAAGAGAAGACATTACAATGGATGCCAAAGAAATGAAAAAAGATCACAAGGGACTATAATAAACAATTATATACCAACAAAGTGGACAACTGAGAAAAAATAGATAAATTCCTAGAAACATACACACAAAACTGAATCAAGAATATATAGAAAACCTGAAGAGACCAAAGACAAATAAGATTAAAACTGTAATGAAAAAATATCCCAGAGGAAATATTTACAAATGGCATATCTGAAAAAGTATTAGTATCTAATCTATAAAGAACTTAGTAAACTGAACACCCCCAAAAAACAAATAATCCAGCTAAGAAATGGACAAAAGACATTTTTCCAAAAATGAGACCCTTGGCTAACAGACACATGAAAAGATGCTCAACATCACTCATCATCAGGGAAATACAAATCAGAACCATGATGAGATACCTCTTCACACCTTTCAGAATGGCTAAAATTAATAACACACATATCTCACATATATGTAATGGAATATTAGCCATCAAAAATAAATGAAAAT